ATGTATGCGTACAGCTGTTCTGGTTCTGAGGTGTGGCCCCAGTAATGCGCTTGGCAGTGTGATGCACTAGGAACTGCATGGCCTCACCTGCAAAGGGGTCTCACTAAAAACATTAACGCTAAATCTAAACTAGGTGTGCCTTCCAGTTTCTGTGAAACAGAGGATAGAGGACATGTTTAAATAAGATCATGGGGAAATAGACAAAAGGTAGCAGGGTATCCTGTAAGGTATCTGGCCTAGGATCTTCAGATAGTTCACATTGGAGGGGAGAGGGAGGGGTAGGATAAATTAGGGCGGAAAGACTGTTTTTGACTAAAAAAACTATAATCAAATGCAGTGCATGGACCTTGATTGAGTCATGGTTTTAAGAAAACAGCTATAAAAAAATAGAGCTGGGTAGGGAAATTTGAGTACAGACTAGGCTTTGGATATAATGGGATTATTGTCAGTTCTCTTGGGTGTGCTAATTTTATTGTGGTTTTGTAGGAAAATGTTCTTATTTTTAGGAGGTGTATGCTAATGTATCTAGGGGTGAAGTGTCAAGACATCTGCAACCCATTTTCAGATGGTTCAGGAAAAGAATTATGTGTTGGCGTGAGTGTGTGGGCTGTAGGTGGATGGAGCAACTATGGGAAAATGTTAACAAATGTTGAATCTGAGTGTTGGGTAGATGGATGTTCATCATCTATTCTTGTCAACTTATATCTATGTTTGAAAATTTTCACAGTAAAGCTTAAAAACAGAACCCAGGTGAGTAAGGGAGGTAGGGTTCTTTATGACACTGTTGGTCCTGGCCTCATTTTTTGGGTTGCTCATCCTGGCATGGTGGGGGCATGGACAACACAGACTTGACTGCCATCCTCTGGTTCCCTCAGCAGCCTTTCCAGGTAGATGTGAACTTTGCTCCTGAGTTCCTGTAATCTAGCCAACAGCACTGGGTGGCTCTGTCTTCACAAGGACTTTCTTCCCTTCTAACTGGCAGTGGGAAGCTGCCAAGAAGAGAACCCCAGGATCTAAGTGAAAAAACTGTAGTTCAGCTCAGCTCAGTGCCTTTGCCCTTCTTTTGCCATTACCATTAGAGGTTTGAGAAGGATATATCATAGGCCTCTGTAAGTTGACCTCCCAAGGGACTGTAACACACTGGTCAACGTGCTGAGGTGGTGACCATAAGGAACCAGGCCTCTTGAATGCTGTGCACATGTGGTGCATGTCTAGTCTCTGAACCTTAGGTCAATTTAAGGAGAGGGTCAGTGCTGGGAGGTGGTCAGCTCTGGAAGGTCTACTGTATATACGACTGACTCCCACAGCCCAACCTCTTATAAACTACTTCTTGTGCTCTGTTCTGACTGTCGTGCTACCATAGGCTTCTGCACGATTCTCGGGATTGTCTATTTTTAAGGTCTTTGCTAAGAAACTTTATGTTGCAGACCGTTGTGCCAAACACAGCATCACTTTCTGAAAGTCAGAGGGCTGTCCAAGTCATCCATAATCACCAGGGATGTAACAGTAAAGTCAAGCGTTCTAGAGGGGAAATGTATTTAGTGGCCCACAGAGATGTTTACAGGGAACGGCAGTGAGGGTCTGGTTTTATGAGGCGAGCTTCGTGGAAGCAGGAATTACAGTTAGTAGCTGTGGGTGTTGGGGCTGAGGAGTGCTGTGCCCAGCATCCCTGTAGCTCACAGGGTTCCATAATTGGGGATCTCATTCCCCTTTGATACAGATGTTGTCTTTGCAAGTTTCTGCCTCTCTGTGCACAGCCAGACTGGGACACCACACAGAGCACAGACTGCTAGGGAGGCCCCTGCTGCATTTCCAGATTTTCCCTGTCCAGCTACTCTGAGAACTTTGCTTGGAGCCCCCAGGGAGCTGTCAGTTTTAGTCAGTTGGCCTTGCATATCATGGCTGTGTCTCCGATAAGAGCAGTTTACAAACTGCCAGGAGACCAAAGAGTCTTATCTCTCTGTTCAGAACAGAGAAGAATGAAGGCCCCATCCCAGCTTCTCTGGTGTGGACATGAGAATTTGGCACAGTGGGTGGCATATTGTTTTAGCACAAGAGAGGGAACCATGTATTATTTGAACTTAAGCACGAATCCTTAAATAATCCTACCTTAAATTTGAAGTCAACCATTTTGCTAAGCCCAGACATCCCATCTTCTCTCTGCCTTTCTTCTCAGAATTTGCAACCTAATTGCATTCCTGCCTCTGACTGGAGCTTGCTGGCCAAGATAGCAGACGCTGGCATAGTCATTAAGATACAAGTCACCTGGCTCGGCGCCTATAGCTCAACCGGCTAAGGCGCCAGCCACGTACACCTAAGGTGGTGGGTTCCAATCCCCAGCCCGGACCCGCCAAACAATGATGGCTGCAACCAAAAAATAGCCGGGCGTTGTGGCGGGCGCCTGTGGTCCCAGCCTCTTGGGAGGCGGAGGCAAGAGACTCGCTTGAGCCCAGGAGTTGGAGGTTGCTGTGAGCTGTAATGCCATGGCACTCTGCCCAGGGGGACAGCTTGAGGCTCTGTCTCACAAAAAAAAAAAAAAAAAAAAAAGATACAAGTCACCTGAGAGGTTGCTGCAGAGGCCTGCACTTCTGCAAGAGGACAAATATGTATATTCACATTGAAAAATTACATTAAACTAAGAAAAGAGACAAGGTAGAGGCAGGCTGTGTATAACAGTAAATTGGTTTTCTAATCAAACAGGAAGGTTTTGCAGCTCTTAACAGGCTGGGCTTTTTCCACCTGTTGGTTCAAAGTGTGTGTAAGCCTGGGGGCAGGTGCCAGGCTCTCAGGGCCTCTTGGGAGGCACTGCAGCTGGTTTTCTTCTCTTTCCCAGTAATCATTCTCATTATAAAACAATCAGCTCTGAAGCTTTCTTCTATGGGTAACCTTTTTCTGAAAAGGCTTTTCAATTTGGTAACATTTGGGGAGGGGGTTGGAATGAGTGAGTGGGAGTAGGATGTACCTTCTGGCTTAATGCTCATTTTAGCCAGTTGAAGCTGGCATCCAGGTTAGGCAGTGGGGACACAGGAAGTAGAGCAGGACCCTGCCCTGGAGGCCCACCAGGGAAGCTCAGACATGAGCAACCTCATCCATCTCTAAGTAGTCTGCTCTTAATTTTTTCCTGTGTGCGATGGCCAGGAACACATCTACTGAGCACCTCCATGGTTCACTTGTCTGATCAGTGCCATCCATGTTAGGGGGAAATCTTCTGCGGGAAAGAGTATCTATGGAGCACTTCCCATGCCAGGCACTTTGACAGATTCTTGTCCATTCCTTACAGCAAGGTTGTGCAGTATGGGTGCCCTACAGGGTCCATGTATGTAGTAGATGAGCAAGTTCTGAAAACGTAGATGTCCATGTGGTCAGTGAGTGGTGGAGCTGGCTTTGGAACCCAGACCTGATGGACTCCAAAACTTCTTCAGGGGGACGCGCCACCTCTCCCTTACCCAGTGCTCAGCACAGCCTGCGTGCATCCCCAATCCCGCATAGTTAAGTGTATATGTTCCTAGTATTGCACTGGTTCTGTCCCCAAAATAGCATCTTGTATAACTGCAGTGACATGAGGACTTTTAAATGTACCCTGTTTCATTGTTTCAGGAGATGAGTAGGGTCACTTGCTCACCAGGATGTCAACCAGAAAGCAGACAGCTGTGCACAGGGTAGAAACAGACACTTTCAGCCTTGACACTGAGCTTCCTCAATTCCCTACTTCCCTTCCTTTGTGATAACTAACTCCTTGCCTCACCCTGCTCCCAACATGCCAGGGGGCTCTTTGTAACTCTCTTTGGAGCTGACATGACCTGGGTTAATAAGATCTAATCATTGAGAGCAGGGCTGTGCACCCAGATGTCAGATGTGAGCTGCATGACTCTTCCTGACCTTGGAGAGGGGGCAGAAAAGGGGGCTGCAGGGAGCACAGCCATGCCCTGCTTCAGGGTGCAGGCTCCTCTGGAGGAGGTTTGAGCCATTGAAGCAAAGTCTTCTGCTAATGAAGTCATTTGTCCTTGGGTACAGAATGAGCCCTCTGTGAAATCAGAAACAATGGGCATGTTGAGTTCCAGACCTGGGGTGAATTGAAGCTTAGGCAGGGGCACATGGGATGAATTGGGACATTTCAAGGGATGCATTCTTCACAGACAAGTTTCTGCTGTCAACAAGCTGGTCCACTCAGCTGTAATGATACTTAGTGAACGGTCATCAGAGCCTGTTGTGAATAATTTCCACAAGTGAGTCATGAACTCTTCATTGAGGGCCCCCCCCCTTTGAGTTCCAATTAGTATAAACTATTTTGTCTAAAAATCACCCTGTGAAAATGGATGAAAAATGGGTTTGAGTAGCAATGTTTTGTTCTTTTTCGTGGGATCATTTCCTTTGACATTCTCATTTACCTACGAAGCAAAGGCTCACTCTTCTGTCTCTGCTATTAATTCTATTTCCAGGCAATAAAAGTGGAATGTTGCTACTATCGGCTGCCAAGCAAAAGCTTTTGGTGCAAGTTTTTCAGAACTTAGCTTATCTAGTACCAAAACAGCAGCCCGAGTCTTGCAAACTTTAAAAAAAAAATGTAGCCATTCCGCTGACAGAGTTCACTGCCTGAACCTATCTGGATCCCTACGAAGTTTTACTTTTTATAATAAAAGGCGAGGGAGCCCTGGGCTGGGAGCAGGACCAGCGTTGGTCCGTCCTGCGGTGCTGCCTAGAGATAAGGTGAACTGTGTGGGCGGGGAGAACTTGAATCCACCAACCCCAGCAGAGGCGTCCGGCGGGGCCGGGACTTGCTGGCCGGCGGGGTCGGCCCGGGAGGCCGGGCAGGGGGCGGGGTCCGCCCGCCGCGCCGCTAACCGCCTCTTCTGTCTCCCTAGGTGAGGCCGCCCGGCAGGCGGTGCTGCGGCCCGGCCAGAGCGAGCGCGTCCCGCAGCGTGCATGCCGCCGGCCGCGGAGTGGGTGACTGCAGCTGCGACTTCCTTCCCGGGCCGCCCGAGCCTCCTTCCTCGCTTTCTTTTTTGATTAACTCCGTGGTCGCCTGACTCTTTTTCCGCCTTGAACATCAATATGTGTCATGTCATTGTCACCTGTCGCTCGATGCTCTGGACCCTCCTGAGTATTGTGGTGGCTTTTGCAGAGCTCATTGCCTTCATGAGCGCAGACTGGCTCATCGGGAAGGCTAAGAGCCGCGGCGGCGCCGAGCCGGCCGGCCCGGGCGGGGGCGTCCCCGAGTCCTACCACCCCACCTTGGGCATCTACTCGCGCTGCACGCGGAACCCGGGGCTGCAGCACTTCCCGCGGGACATGCTGTGTGGGCCCTACGCCGAGAGCTTCGGCGAGATCGCCAGCGGCTTCTGGCAGGCCACGGCGATTTTCCTGGCCGTGGGGATCTTCATTCTCTGCATCGTGGCCTTGGTGTCCGTCTTCACCATGTGTGTGCAGAGCATCATGAAGAAAAGCATTTTCAACGTCTGCGGGCTGTTGCAGGGAATCGCAGGTAAGTGCAGAGGGCAGGGGCTTGAGCGGGGAGGGCGGGGGCTCGCTGGTCGGTGCTGCCCGCTCGGGAGAAGGCCGTCTAATCGGGGTTGCTTTGCTACGTTCGGTTCCAGGCAAAGCTCGCGCGCTGCCCGCGTGGGTCCCCTCCCTGTCCCACCCTTACCCCACAGGAAGACGCCGGCTTGTTCTCTCTGGTCTGGCATGATCTTCCCCATTGCTTATTTCCTCAGGTCTATGTCGTTGGCTTTTATATGAGTAATTACTCCTACTTTTTGCTTTTCCCATTAAATTAAAAGCATGCCTTCCCCGCCGGCGCATCTCCCTGGGGAGTTATGGTGGGAGGACTCGCCCCACCTGCGGCAGAGTCTGCAAAGAGAGACTGCAAGTCGGAGGCAGCCGGCCTGGGCCCGCTCTCAGCCCCCAGACGATTTCAGCTTTGGGCCGGGAAGGAATTAGAATCAGCTGCTCCGCGTTTAATGGTGTTCTGGTCTAAATTGTCTCCTGGAGCCTGACGGAATGTTTTGTGCACTCAGATCCGAAACGACGATCTAAGTCTTCCACTTTCTGATAATTTCTCACTAATGAGCTTGTTAGAAATGAGTGGAAAGAAAAGTATGAGCTCTCTACAGTGATCCCAGAGGGAAGGCTGTGAGTTGCAGGAAAAGGTCGGTGGCCACCAGCACTTTGTAGGTTTCCCAGTGGGTTCCAAAGGCGGGTCCTGAACCAAGAGGGTGGCAGTCTGTCTAGGTTTGTTGTGGGTGGTAGAAATTGATTTTCTCTCTCCCCCCCCCTCCCCCTCTCCCTCTCTCCCCCTCTCGCTCTCTTCCTTCCTCCCTCTCTCCCGCCCCCCCCCACCTTTCTCCCCGTCCCACACAGCTGAGTATGGACATCCATAAGGAAGTAGAGAAATAGACTCTTGCTTTGACAGTCAAAGGAAAGGATTCACTTTTAACCAAGATACTTATTAAGCTCAGTTCTAACAGGAGAAACTCTAATCTACTTACAACCCTAAATGAAGGGCACAGGTGATTCATCCCTCTGCAAATTCCAAACCTGTGTGCACAGAACAATGAAGATAAGCCCCAAGCCCGTGTCCAGGGCTGTAAAGAAACAGACCCCAGATGAATTAACTCTAGTCTGCTTCATAGCAAACTCTTGAGCTCAGCAGGGATGGCTTCCAAATAAATAGATCAAGGGATAGAGATTTTTTTCCCCTCAAAACAGCTGATAAGATAAAGTTTTCTGTTCTTCACATCTTAGGGGGCCTCTGTGGTGGGGGGGAGGGGTAATGGGTCAAGAGAAATGGCAGAGGAGCTGGCCCTCAGTTCTGACTTGCTTTCATGGGCGTCCACTCCATCCAGTCACCAGAGCCCTTAAAAATTCTGGCCCCGAATGACAAATCTGTGGCCCCTCATCTCTTCATCTGCCAGGATCAGCCATACCACAAATGACCCAGGAACTCAGAATTTAGGCAGGGAGAATGTTGTTTCTCAGCTTGGTACTAATTAGCAGTTCCCCTCTGGGTGAGTGTACCACCTCTCTGGGTCTGGGTGTTCCTCTTCTGAAAAGATAGGGAGACTGGAAAATACGACCTGACCTTTGTTTAGTTTTAATCTCAGAGTTTTGATTCTGTGACACCCATTGTCTCCCCTTTTTTATTTCCTTGCTTATTTTTTTTTTTTTGTTGTTGTTGTTGTTGTTGAGACAGAGTCCCACCCTATGCCCTGAGCAGAGGGCAGTGGTGTCACAGCTCATTACAACCTCAGACTCAAACTGGGGGCATCCCGCTGCCTCAGCCCCTGGAAGCCGCTGGGATTACAGGCTGGGTTTTTCATTTTTTTAGGAGTCAGGGTCTCACTCTTGCTCAGGCAAGTCTCAAACTCCTGAGCTCAAGCAATTCTCTCTCCTTCGCCTCCTACAGTGCTGGAATTATGGGAATGAGCCTTCATGCCCAACTCATTGTTCCCTTTTGACTTCTGAAATCTGAAGTCTGTCCTCCTCAGCTTGGCATTTCACTGCCCAGAAATGTTAAATGAGGTAGGTTTCAACTTAGGCTCATCCTTTTTTTTTTTCTTCCCCAGAGAAATGCCCCCACTTTATTCACAGATGCAGGATGTCCACTGTGCGTGCATGTGTACGTATGTGCATGTGTGTATCTTTAAAACTTTTGCAGAGACGTGGTTACCAAAGGCTTTTGAGATGTCAAATACAAAAATGGAGATAAAGGAAAGCCAGTGCATAACGTTTATTAATCCTAATGAAGTCCCTGGTTGACCAGAGTTGATTTCTGATGAATCTTCTCTCACTGTGGTGTCTGCTAAGGTCCCTGGTGACTTCATGCCTCTGTGGAGGGTTTGGTGCACAAGGTACAGGTGAGACTGTGGATTTCTGGTCTCTAGGTGTGCCTTTCACCCTTAGAAACTCCATGGTGTGCTAACTGCCTCTAGTAAACCAGTGGCCATTTACTACAAGGCCATAACCCAAACTTATCTTTTGTAGTTATTCAGAAGCAAAACATAGGTATCCTTCAAGACGATTTTCATGCGGTTTTTAATAAGATGTTACTCCAGTGAATTCCATCTCTAAGTGTGTGGATTAGTCCAACCAACCTTTGGGTGATCTTGTGTGCCTCACATAATGGCAAGTGTGTTCATTTTTGCACAAAGATCAGCGTATATCTTAGGTATTATTTGTACTCTCCAGCAAGATTTTTCTGACTTTTCTCTTTTTCTCTCTACATAAGGCCTCTGGGAAGAGGGTTGAAAAGAGGAAGAAGTAACATCCCGGAGCAGCTAGTCTGCTGGTCTTCAGTCTCTTCCAAAAGTCTGGGCTTTCTAAAAGAAACTTTAGCCTTCTCTCCCCTATTACCTATGCATCATCTCAGAAATTCCGAAATTACTCAAAATTTTAAATTGGCAAGAAGCAGAGGCCCCTGTGTGGTGTGCCTAGGAGCCATTAATCCAAGGCTAAGATTGAGCACTGAGCTATAGGGAAAGACACGGTTTCTGTTCTCCTTCCTGCCTAGTAGCCCCCACAGAGAAGAAACCATAGGAAACACGGGACAGGCCATCCTTCCCGAGTTTGGTGCTCACATCCACCACAGAAAGTTCAAGCCAGTGGAATTGGCAGCTTGAATCTATGGCTGAAAAGGTTGCACAGCAGTGTCTGAAGCAGCTCACTCGCTTTCTCTCCAGTCTGCCAATCTGTGATAGCATCTGGCCAGCCCCAGCCCAGGCTGGACTGGTTGCAGCTGTGAGCACCAGTCTTGTCTCTCCCCGAGCCCTCTTAGCCCTGGATCTCTTCCATGCTGAACAAATGGTGAGAGAGGAGGCTGCCACCAAAGCGCCAGACGGATTCTTTAGCAATACACCCGGGCTGTGTTTGTTCTTACAACTTGCATTTTGGCAAAAATGACATTTTTACAAAATGTAACTGAATGAAAAATTACAGGATAATGTAAGCATATGCCTTTGCTATACTCAATTTTAAAGAATAAATAGGCCACAGGCTTATATAACCCCTTATTATCTATAAAATACAACATAAATCATTAAATTCATGATATTTTGATTTTAGAAGTTGATTGAGAAAGAATCTACTATCTCAAAGGAGATCCCAAACTTTGGATTCACGTAAAGGATTTGCCTTTAAGGCCTCGCCTGATTGTGGTACCCATTCTAAAGGCTTTAACACAGATGGCTGGGGGCTTTAGTACCCACTCTTGGCAGTAATCAGGATTCAAGCCTCATTTAAAAGTAGCCATGAAACGTGGGCCAATTTACCTCACTTCTCTAAGCCTTGGTTTTCCCTTTCATAAATGGAGATAATAATAGCACATGCCATGGGTAGTTTTGAGGATTAAATTAGATAATGTAAGAATGTGAAAAAGGCTTAAAAGCATAATACTTGACAATAGTAAACAATAAATGGGAGCTAAAAATAATTATTAAAGTATTTCTGCTTTCTTAGCAAGTTTTAGTATTTTTTTGTTACCCAGAATTGCTGCATTCTGAGGAATAGGTGTATGTCTTGTAACTTTAGTGTTGGCCTTTAATCCAACATGAATACATTGCATAGGGCGGCCCCTTAATGGCCTGCCTATGTTGGGACTGCAGGGTTCAGGGCAGTCCTGTGGCTTTGATATGACCAGAGCATGTCCTAAGATCTTTTTTTTTTTTAAAAAGCAGAAGATAGCAGTTGCATTGACAAGCAATAGAGATCTTCCCCCCACCCCCAATACACATTGTCCATTCCTTTGCTTTCTGGAGGCAGCTCCTAGCAGTTGACTCTTGATTGCAGGTGGCTTCTCAGATTCCCCTGGCAGAATAAATCACAGGCTGATTGGTCTTCACTAGGTGAGAACTTGTCCAGGACTTGGCAGAGCCAGAAACACACATCGGTTCATATCCCTCAGGGATTCATTACAAAAGCTGGGTAATCCGCCAGCAGGGTTGTTTTTTTGCCAGCTGTCTTCCTTAGGTTGTGACCTGGATGTAATCCATAGTGAAACCGTAGAATGCAAAGATCCAGGTTTTCCATGACAGCATCAAGTAGTCTGTTTTTGGAAATGCATGTAGGGCTCTCTTAGAAGTCCATGGAATCCCTGGTGACTCAGGATTGGGACAGAAGCCATTAAAATGAGCTCAGAATTTGGCTCACTTGTGCTAGCTGGGCCTGTCCCCACTGGGATTGCCACGAGGGCTGGACTAGCACATGGGCTGCTGGGCCCGGCTGCCTGCTGTCTTGCCGTCTGGCCTCCTGTGCTGATTTGCTGCTTCAAGTCTTGCCGGCTCTCACGCTCCCTACTCCCTGCAGCCCTCTGCCTGTGTGGGTCTTGGTGCAGCAGGATTGCCTCAGCAGGCCGCCCGCCAGTCCAACCAGACCTGTGGGCTGAGCTCTGCAGGGCTGGGGTGGAAGGTGTAGTCGTGGGAATTGCTCTTTGCTGGGGTGGTGGAGGCCTGGTAGGCCTGGCAGACCTGGCATGGCAGGCTCGGCTTTCTT